TACCAGTAAGATATTTAGAGCCGGTACGCTGTACTGGTAAGATATTTAGAGCCGGTACACTGTACTGGAAAGACACAGGAGGAGTAGAATGTGGGGCTGCCAGGCGGTCCCATGCCGGCAGCTCCTCCAGCACAGCTGTACCGTCCTCAGCTCTGCTCCCAGCCCTTCCATGCAGCTGCATCTAGCGTCTGCTGTCTGGGGTCTGAACACAGCCCCGCCAGAGGACAGGGCTCTTCCCCCCACCCCCTTTAGCTGGTGCAGAATACTGGTAAGAAATGAATTCTACTTGTACTACCGGTAACAGGAGACAGAGGCTTTCACCTCTAAGAGACTGGCTCGTTCCTGCAGCTGTCCCCTGATGAACGTTTGGGGGTGTGAGGGAATCAGTCCAGTTCTTGGTCTACAGCAGAAAAAACAGTGGCTCTGTGACCAGCCCTGAATGGGACATGGAGGCTGTATTCCTCTCTCACCCATAGGGGAGTTCTGCCAGGGAAGGGCTGAGATACATTGGCAGGATGTCATGGGGAACACCATACTACACTGCTGATGCTCTTTAGATAAACAGGGAACTTTTGTCTCCAGGGCCATCACTCTAGTATCGTTTCTGAGAACTAAATCTACTTAAATAGCTAAAACCACTAAACAGACATTGGGCCAAACTCCCCTCCAATACATCCCTAAGGAAGCCATTGGGGTGTATAACCAAGGCCAGAATTTGGCTTTACAGACATAGCACATCTAAGAACTGTATCAGTCGTATTGCTACTACCGAGTTTTCAGAGCAGTGGAAAGGGATGGATTTAGCCATATAGATTCATGCACACGGCTGGGCCTCCACACACCTTGTTATCCCTCCTTCCTGTGTAGCTATACAGAAAGCACTCTGTTACAACTGTGAGACATCTGTGAATACAAATAAAGCAGATAATGTAAACCCAGGAGTCAGTGCATTGCTGGTCCATCTAGTTCAATACCAAGGCTCCGGCAGTGGTCAGAACCCAGTGTTTTAAAACAAGGTTGCTGCTCCACCCCACTCTATAGATACCTGGCCAATTACACAACGCTGGGGATAAAGAAGAGGAAATCTTTTCCTTACCCCTGAAGTGATCAGCTTAATCCGGAAACATAAGATCGGCCTAGTTGATAGAACTGACTAGCTTATGTAAATGCAATTCTAAATCTGATTCAGCCCTTTCTAAAATCCACCCACGCTGCCCCCATGAGGCTGCTAAAGCTGGTGAGGAGACATCTGGGCATCACTGGCCGACGTAGCCCAGGTCGTGCTCAGAACCGCTGAAGACAGAGCCAGGCTTGATTCTCCTCTTAGATCAGTGTCACCCTGGCACCATTCCATTGAGGTCAATGGAGTTACTCCCAATTTACACCAGTGTGCGTAGGATCAGAATCAGGTCCTTTGGGCTTCCTGACCTTGGGCCATGGCCTTTGTTTGAAAGTGAGACAATGTTGCCATTAGCAGCATTCACTTGGAAAGGAGGCATTCACCTCCTCTTAAAGCCTACTGGATACCCAAAGGCAGGCATCAATATCAAATGCATTTGTGACTCCAAATGCGTCAGATCCACCGGCTTGCATTCTGGGCTGAAAGACACAGTACTCTGAGGAAGAAGAGCAGAACTGCTCAATTAACCCATGAACTAGTCCCCCTTTCCTCTCTGGAGATGGGGATTGATAAGTAGGGGTCCTATTCTCCTGCTGCAGGATCTGAGCAAATACCACTGACGGCAATTATGATGATGATTATTTGTATTACAATAGCAGCTAGAGCTTCCAACCAAGACCAGGGTTTTGTTGTGCTAGACGCTGTACAGAGATAGCCCCTGCACTGAAGACTCTACAGTCTAAATAGAGAAGACAAAGGTTAGAAGAATGGAAATATTAGAATTCCTATTTTACAAATGGGGAAACAGGCAGAGAGCAGTGATGTGAATTACCTAAAGTCACACAGGGAGAAGAGGAGGTACTTGAACTCAGATCTCCTAAGTCTCAGCACAAGAGTCATTTGTATCCTGCCCAGAGAGATCTAGGACCCAAGCTTAGTTAGGAGTGAAAGGCTATGTCTACACTACACCGCTTTTAGCGACATGGCTGTGTCACCACAGACGTGCCGCTAAAAGTCGCGCAGGTTAGCCGCTGTTTATCGGTTCTCCTGCCGAGAAAAAACATCTACCCCCAACGAGTGGCGTTTGCGTTGTCAGCTGCCAACAATGCGCTGTTCACACTGGCATGGCCAAACTTTTGTCTTCCTGGGGGTGTTAACACCTCTGAAAGACAAACGTTTTTTCGTTCAGTTGCCAGCGTAGACATAGCGAAAATTAGCGTGCTGGGTTTAAATACTGCAGTCAAACACATGACGCAAAGCCACCCCATCAGTCACTGCCTGACAGCTGCCATTTCAGGAGTCTGGTGAGAAATCAGAATTACGCTCCAGGTTAAGAAATGAGATGCAGCTGCTGAGGTGGATGGGGCATAGGGCCGGGGTAGCAGGGTTTGAGCTGCAGGTCATGACTGTTTTAGATACTTCGGCAGAGCTGGGTGGATGCAGGTTGTACAGCTCCTATTCACTATATACATCACCTCCAGTAAGTGCTATTAGCCCTTTACTTCCACGAGTTCTAAAGTGGCAATGTCCTTTTACTTAGGTTTCCTGCTGTGCTAAGACACGGCGCGTCTAGTGGTGTGAACCGTAGTTAAAAAATTATGCTTCATGATTCACAGTAAAGTGGATGCAGCTGCCAGGCCATGTCAAAGATAGAAAAGCAACATGATGTGTTGATTGCCCATGATTGCTTGTATTTTTAACTCCCCGATGCATCAAAAGGAGGAATTGGAGAACATGTGTGTGTGTGTGTGTGTGCGCGCGCGCGCGTGCATATCAACTTACACATGTGCACATGCATTCATGACTGTGGTGGAGCATTCTCAATGTTCACATTGGTGGTTGTGACCCAAGAGCCCCTGGGTGCCAACTGGCAGAGGAAACAGGGTGCATAAGGTTGTACAAGGATCCCTGGGTCAGATACTGGCATACTAGTCCACTGAAGGGTGGTATGGGAGGTCTCTGTTGAGAGTCAGTTTCCCACTTGTCATAATCAATGCAAAATGTATGTACAGATCATGTTTAAGGAGTTATGTACCTATATCGAAAATGACGTTCTTCAAGCCGTGGGGTTACGGCAGCTTGCGAGGAGGTGACGTGCCTTGGAGATGTTCCTGTCAGGCAGGAAGTAACTGACACCAATCTCCCTGTCTGGCCACTTGTGTATCGTTTACTTATTTGCATACTGAGCCAGGTGCAAATTGAGAGATTGTAAAATCTACGAGAAAGGAATTCTACTGGAAGAAACAAACAGTGGGAGGAGGGGTTACCTATTTATGAAAAGGACAAAGGATAGGTCTGGTATATCTTGGCGTGCAAAGCGACACATGGAATCCTTCACCTAGGAGGCAAACTGACCATATTCATGTCTCATGAAAGAAGGCTCACAGCCAGCCTGGCTGTAAAGCACTGCAGGGACTTTGGGAAGAGCAATTCTCTACTCGACAGGAGAGTATCTGGTTAATTAAATCTAGGCTCTAGAGTGCGTGTTATGATTTGATTTTGTAACCGTTTGTTTCCAAGACTTCTACTTGCTACAATTTGAATCTCTGTGCTTTGTTAAATCATTTTATACTTGCTGTCACTATAAACTAATCTACGTGCCGCGATTTAAGCAGAGCAGTGATCTAATGTGGAACTGGTAAGCTGGGCTGTGCTCTTTCTTTAGAAGCAGTGGATCAATGAATACTGCAAGTGTCCAGAGGGCCAGGGGCTGGACAGTCCAGGGAGATGCTCGGAGGGATCAGGGGTCGGACTGTGACAGCAGGGCCTGCAAGGCCAAGAGGGGAGGCTTGTGTTTGCCATGACCAGTTCTGTTGGGGAGCAGACCCACAACAGCAAGGCCGGCTCCAGGCACCAGCTGAGCAAGCTGGTGCTTGGGGCGGCAGATTGTTTGAGGCGGCATTCTGCCCAATCCTAGGGCGACACGGCCGTCTTTTTTTTTTTTTAATTTTTGCTCTGGCCGCCCTGTAGGGGGCGGCGGCGCGGAGAACCAGAGCACCCTGCCGGGCAGTCCTCTTCCTTCCCTCCCCGCCAACCGGAGCGGAGCCCTCGCGGCAGGCGGCAGGAGGTGGAGCAGTGGGAGGGGCCGCGTGGCAGCGCCCCTGCTGTAGCCCTGGCCACCCCCTTCTCTCTCTCTCCCGCCCGCTCCCTCCCCCACCCCACCCCCAGCCGGTCCCCCTGCACCGTGCCTCAATTTCCCCCTTTGTAGACATGGCACTGACCCTGTGTCTCCGGGGGATAGAGGGGCTTCATTCATTAGTGTCTGTAAAATGCTTTGGGATGCTGGGACAGAAGGGGCTAGCAATATGCAGCGTATTATTGTTATGAATAATGACTCCTTGTCCCTCAGCCCATTCTGGGAGCCAATCCCTCCCCCTTGCTAAGCAGGAGCATGGAAGCCTCACCCAGGAAACAAACATCTAAATAGTTATGACTCTGTGTTTATTTAGCCTCTTTCACCCACAGACCTCAAAGATTTTTTACAAACATTAATCACTTACGCCTTGCAGTGTCCCTGCGGCACGGTGAGGTTAAGTAACTGGTCCCACGCAAGTTCCATGATGGCCATTTTACACATGGGAAACTGAGGCAGAGAGGAGTTAAGTAACTTGCCCAAGGCCACCCAGAAAATCAGGCAGAACCCCACAAAGATCCTATGAATCCTGACTCCTGCTCTCCTGGTGCCATTCCATCACTACAATTCCAGGAACACTATCAGGAACCAAGGATTAAGGGCAAAGGGGCATAGAGAGAGAAATACACAGGAAGAAAAACTGAGCAATCCCTCCTGTGGCTAGTCCCCTACTGTATTTTAGTGTATCTGTTCAGAACCATCGCAGATGCCTGAAGTCCCAGTGCCCATCTCAAAGCATCCTCTTACCTTTTCCAGACAGGTGCCTCCATGTCACCGTAGGCTCTGGTCTCCCAAAGGCCAGACACATGAGAGTTACGCTGCTCCCTTCGTTCACTGTGATGTCTGAGGAGATGTTTATAATCTGGGGAGGAACTAGAAAGAAAAGAGAGAGAGAGAATGAGGAGAAATTCATGAGAACTGTGTCTGATCCAAGGCTCATCCTTAATGCTTTGGCAATCTCAAGCCTTCCACTCTGTACAGCACGTCTGAAGTGTCTCAGGGCTGAATTATGCAGGCTCAGAGAGTTTGGAGTAAACCACATTCCTAGTGCTTCCCCTACTACACTTGGGAAGTCTCTACTGAAGTGTCAATGCAATACCAGCTGTTCAAAGGCCCACTCAGGAGCTGCAGCCTCATTCCACAGTCCAAGGCTTGTTTAAAAGCACTGACATACCCCACCATCCAGAAGGGAAGCCACCTACTTTCCAAGTACCCCTTGTTTCTAAAAGAGACATGCTGGACGCTGTAGGAGCCTGGCCATTTGCATCCAGCTGGTTTACTCACCCCACAGTTTGAAATACCCGCTCTTCTTGCAAAGTTTGAATAGCACAGAGCGGTCAACTTACTAAACCAAAAACATGCCGCTGTTCCCAAACGTTCCTCAGTAGAGCATCGAGGGATTAGCGTCAGCAAATGAAACCTGTCTGGGTTCATCACATAAAGCACATTTTACAGTGATCAGAGATGAACCCGAAACAAACCTCCTGATCTCGTCACCGTAGAACGAGATTTCACAGCTTGGCCCAGGGAATATAACCCCTGGACACTTTTAGGGCCTGATCTAAAGCCCATTGAAGTCAGTGGAATTTCTATTGACTGTGGATCAAGCCCTTACAATGCTGGCTACAGTTACTGCCTTTGGGTGGTACATAGGACCCACGAGTGCTCTGGGTGCTTTGCAGACAGGTGGGAAAACAGGCTTGTGCCCTGCAAGATTTACAGTCTGCAGATGGTGTTTTAAGAAAGGGGAAAGAGATGGAATGGAAGACAAGATTTTCCCTGCCCCCACTTTCCTAATTATGATTTGTTTTTGTTTTTTTTAATGCTCAGTCCATTTGCTCTAGGGTGCTGTTCTTGCTGCTTATGACCCTTGTCTGTTTGCTGTTGGGTTTGTAACCCAGGTCTATAGGCTTTTTAAATTTGCTGCCTTGCTTTTTAAATCCTGATCCATGCATAGGCAGTTACTGACGTGGCTCTGTCCACTCACAGAGTGGGAAGAGTTTTTTGTTTTTTTTTCCAAACCACGCCCTGCTGATTTGATTTGGGACACAGTCCAGGACCTCAGCCACCTGCTACCCTCCCTGCCATAGAATGAGTGCTTGGGAGTAGCACAATTCCCCGCCCTACCCACCTGAAAATGGAAAGCCTGAGATGGTCTTTTCAGATGACCCTCTCCCCTCCCAGAGCCCCCATCCTCCTCCCCCTCGCTCAGCTACTCACAGAGAAAAAGCACTCAAATCCCTTTCAGCAGCTGTTACTTTAAAAATAGCCATGTGACTCCATTCTTGCCCTGGTAATTCAGACCCTGTCTGCTTTGCAGCCTGCCTGCTCCTGGATTCAGTGCCACGCCCCTGGCTGGGAGTCCAGGGCTGCAGCACCACCACAAGTCCTAAGGTTGTGGAGACCATCCCAGAAGACCCCTTCCCACAGCCCAGGCCTGAGGTCATGCAGGGATTATCCCCATCCCTTCATGATTTGAGCCCATCAAAGCCATTTGTTTATTCATTGCTACCTGGCTCTCTAAGAGGCTTGCAATGATCTTATACACCTAATGACAAACTCATGTCTCACCCAGCAAACATAGCAGCCAGGCACCCACACTTCAAAGCTCTCCTGCTTCCAGACCCTCTTCTCTCATCAGCAAGCCTAATTTCTGTTTCCCATGCCTCTTAAAGAAACAACGTCCAAAACATCACCCCAGAGAGGCCCAATGCTAAGCCCTCTTCATTTAAGGAAGAGGGCTGTCAAGTCTTACAATGCTGGCTCTGTGGCTCAAGCTGTAGCAGCTCATGCTTTATGCTCACAAGGTCCCTGGTTCAATCCCCACTATGGCAGTTATCAAAGAAATAGCTGCAGAAAATGGGGCTTGATAGTTGTGTGGAGTAAAAAAAATTCTGAAGGGCAGAATTTCTCAATGTGGGGGTTAGTGAGGCTGCTGAAAGAGGGGTCATGACCTTCCTGTCCTTTCCATATTGCTGGGGAAGGGGTGCTCCCTGGTTAGATGGGAGGGAAGTCCTTAAGTAGACAAGGCTTCACGGTAGTAACTGGTTTAGTTCTAGGGATAAGTTGCTATCTACATGTGGAGTCAGGAGTGCCTAGACATTTTGGTGAGGTTATTAATTAACAATCCAAACAAACAAACTTACAAGAGATTGGCCAGAAAAGGAACCAGGGAGCTGGAGTGGGCACTGAATTCGGTTTCCAGCTCAGCCATACACACCCTGGCTGACCCTGGGCAAGTCACTCAGGCCAAACTTTTTAGAAGGGACCCCTGATGTTTTATGCCCAAACCTGAAGGGCCCAAAGGTACTAAGAACCCACAGCTCCAAGGACCAGCCTGTGAGAGCTGGAAGACCTCCGCATACCCCTGGCTGAGAATCACTGCATGTGAAAATTAGGCCCTAATTTGGGCAGCCAAAGATGGAGGCCTCCAGACGTAAAGGCCACTGCGGCCTTAAACCTGTTTTGCGAATCCCAAATGTTCAAAAAGGCAAGAGTTGTACAGATGAGAAAGCTGAAGCATTATTTTGAGAGAGAGAGAGAGAGAGAGAGAGAGAGTGTGTATGTGTGTGTGTGGTGGGTGGG